ACCCGAGTGGCAGGGGCAGGGGTGAGCCTCTATGGGGGTGTGTCCGGGCCCCCAGCTCGGGGCCCTTGAAGGACTGGGAGCAGGAAGCTTGCGCAATCCTTTGGCTGAGCGTCCATGGAGAGAAGAAAGGAGCAAAAGTCGAGCGAGAGTGGAAAGAGCGAGAGGGGCGGGCAAAGAGCCATCCGGGTCTCCGCTCCCGCCCGGACACACGTCCCGGAATGCTGGGTGGGGACTGCGCGGGGACTCGAGGGAGCGGGGGAGGGGCGAGGTGCGGAAGCGAACCCCCAAAGCATGCGCCGGGCTCATTTTCTCCTAGGAATCCTGGGGAAGCCTGGAGACGGTCTGGTGTTTAAAGGACGCATACGTTGACTACCATTTCACCACTGCCTCGCAGCTCCCGCGGCTCGGTGGCTCCTGCTGCCCAGGCGGCTGCTACCCAAGACAGCCCGCGTGGCTCCTCCACTGGTGGGGTTCTTAGGGGTGGGGGTTGTCTTCTGGCAGCCCCAGAGAGGGTCTCGGTCTGCAGCGACTGCCCTCTGACAAGCTTGAGGCACAAACCCAAGATTCCTCCGAGAAGGGGTGGGGTGGGGGTGGGGCAGGTTTACCAGCCTGGGTTGGGGTAACCAATGTCTGTTGTCCTGGGGGACGGGGGCTGTCTGAGTTTATAGAACTCGAGGGAGGAGAATTCTTTGGGAAGGGGACACAGGAAAAAGTTTTCCTTCTCCTGCTGTATTTTGGGCTTTTTCCTGACACTCGTGTCCAGAACTAGGAGTTCTCAGGTGGGACAAGCCGAACGTAGAAGGGGAAAGGTCCCTGAGGCTGGCGGGCGGGGGAGCTCTGTCAGCGCGACTGTCACTTTTCCATGCTGATCCTGTCAACTGCCAGGCCGTGGACTCTGTCAGTCTGTCGCGAGGTCTGCAGCGACCTTGTCCTGGACATCCCCTTCGTCCAGGGAGGGTCTGAGCTTCCCGACAACTCCGCCTGCCCCCTCGCTAGAAAATCCCCCGGAAAATCTGTTTCCAATGGGTGTTTCCGAGGCGTCCCGGACTAGGGGCGCCGAGCGGCTGCTACAGCCTCCGCGCCGCCAGGGGCGTCGGACTCTGCAGGCCATGGCTCCTCTGGCTCCAACCGCGCCCCTATGGGGCCCGCGCTCCGGATCTCAGGGGCCACGCGGTGGCACCTGGTGCCCCGACGGCGAGCTTGCGCAGAAGCCGGGCTGGGCCTGATGCCAAGCTGGGGAGGAATGGTGGCTCCCGCCGGCCAATACAGCGGGTATTTTCTGAAGCGGCCGGTGTGGCCGTGAGAGCAAGCGCTGGCTCCCCAAGACTGCAGGAGGGGACGCCCCCAAGCTCCTCAGAAGCCGCGGGAGTCCCCGGCCGCCCCCGCTCCCAGCCTTTCTATGGAAAGTGGCTCAAATACACAAGTACCCCCCGCCAAACGCGGAGACTCGCGTTGTTACTTATTTTGTCCTGGTGGAGGTTGGGCCGATAGGGAGAGAGGCCAGTTCCCAGGACCCTAGCCTCACTTCGCGGCTGGCCCTAGACCACTCTTCACTTTCAAGCGGGTGTAGGGAGTAGCTCAGGTCCATGGGACGGTGAATGGGCTGCAAGGAGGAGGCAGAGACAGAATCTGAGGGGTGGGGAACAATGAGCGCCCTGGAAGCTCCCCTGATGCGCCCAGCGCGCGCCCCTCCTGGGAAGTCTCCCATGGGGCCTCCCCTACCGCCCCACCCCCTGTCTTGGTCCCTCCTAGGGAGCTGCAGGCGAGTGGAGCTCTAAATTCGGGATTCCCAGAGCCTTCAGCTGGGGCCCCTGCCTCCGACCTGGGATATCCCGACTCCCAAGGGAAACTCGGGAGAGGGGTCGCCCGTCTGCGCATTTGACGCTGCCCCCTCCCAGCCAAGGGCAGATTATGCCCTTAGGTTCTGCTGAGGGGCCAATCCTTCTCGGTGCCACCTCAGCCTGGGGCCCCTAGGGGCCCTCAAGGGCCCCAAGAGAGGAGCGATGCTCTCTCACCGAGCCAAAGGCTCCTGCTGAGAGGGGAAAGGGCCAAAAGAACGGACCCTGGAGAAGCCAGGAACTTTTTTAACGTCCCTGGACCCGAGGCTGGTCACTGACAGTCCGTGTCCCCAAGGGGCCTGACCCGCACTAACCTGGGGAAACAAACGACTTCTTAAAGAAACTCTCTCCCTGAATGAATGCTGCCTGCCAGGAGATGCCACTGCCCGCCCACGGAGCCCAGGTCTGGGTTCTGCCGGGAAGGGGCCGACTGTGACCTCCCCGGGCTAGTCCCTGACTAAGAAAGCTCTCGAGTAGTGTGGCATTTTAGTCCCCCAGAGGTGGATTTTAAGTGGCTGAGGGAGCATTTACTATCAACCACTACAAAATCTGCCCAAGCTTTAACAAGAGCTCGCTTCTCTCCTCTGTTCTTAGTATGGGAACTTGTCTTCCACTTAAGCTCTGGCATATGTAATTTTGCATTTTAGCGCTGGCTTTAGGGAAGCTCACCTGGTGGGACTGTGGGGGAGGGGGAGAGATTGGGGGGCAGTAAAGGGGGTTGGCTATGTGGGAGCCCCGAATGCCACCCCATGCACCTCTGATGGCTTTGTCCCTAAGGGTGCCTCTCTGCCTTCTGTGTCCCCACCCCCATGTTTCTGCTCTTTGTTACACCGCCCGTGAAGGGTCGGCTTTCATTTGGGTGGCGAAGCCCCTGACACGCCGCGTGCCTTTGCAGAGGGCCGCTTGGGGCTGATGGGGTTCCAGGTGAGAGGGCTGGGCCGGGTGCGCGGGCGGGAACCGGTCCGGCGCGTCGCAAGGCCGTGGCCCCTTGGCAGATCCCAGGCAAGTCTCGGGGCCACACTGGCGCCCGCAGGGCCGCGCTTCTGCATTGCGGCACGCAGGGGTCGCAGGCGCGGAAGCGGGATGCGTTTTTTTCTACGACGTCGGCTGGTCCACCCCCTCCCAACGTCAGGGCAGCTTCCCAGGCTCGCCCGAAGCCTACCCGCCCCTGGCCCAGGCTCGGTCGCAGGGCTTCCGCAGGCCTGGAGGTATGCGCCCCCAGGATCCATATTTCAAATATGATCTTTGGTGTCGTTGCCACCGCCTGCCGCCGCCGCCGCGCACTCACAACGGCTTCTGCGTGCTGTGTGTTTTTCATCTGGGGTTCGTTTGCCCAAGGTCTCCCCGCGGGCCTCCTGTGCCTGTGAGGTGCGCCGTGCCACGTCTGCCCCTACATTTTGCTCTCGGGTGCTTCCCTTGCGCCCCTCCACCCCCCGAACCCGGCGGGGCCCACACACAGGGAAGCTTGCTTTCTTTCCTTTTTCCAACCAGGAGCTGCTGCAGCAAATCCG